AATGTAATTACAACTACAACTAATTTTCACCCATAAGCAATATATTCACCAAGTAATTAAAATTCTATTCAAAAAATTTTTAAAAGATCAAAGTTTTTTTTTGTTTACAAAAATTTTATACTAAATTCATCCATATAAAAAGTGATTGTTTCTACATCGCACATACATCGAGTGTACCTTTATTATTAGTTTGAAGAATTCTTTGTATTTAATTACATATATAATAATTTTTTTATAAAGAGTAAACTATAATCAATTGCATGCAACCAAAATTCTTATCGATGAAATTTAATCATATAAAACATATATTATCTATGCAATGATATATATTTAGGTGGATAACTAAGTTGGTTAAAAAAATTATTATATAAAATTATCTATATTTAGAGATTTGACAATATAATAGATCCAAGATATGCTCAAGTCCAACCAAATTTCTAATAAAATTATCTATGATTGATGATTAACTTATACGCTTGTATGCCCAAAACAATTCCCTCCTTACTCGTGGGTTAGTTTGTTTTAATATATAATCAGTTGAAAATTCCATATATTGGTATTCTAGCACCATGATAGATTTGACAAAAAAAAAAAACCCGTAAAATTTTTTAATAACTTTTAAGGTAAGTTGATAAATTTTAGAGCCATGGTAGAACTTTTAATAAATTTTAAGGTAAGTTGATAAATTTTAGTGCAATAGGAGGATTTAAACATTGCATCTCTAAATATATAGGGACTGCTACGTAATTTAATTCATTATTGCACTTTTGCTACCATTTTTTTCAATCCCATAGCCCTAACTTTTTCACGGTACCAAGCATTCGACTCTCTACTCGGAGGCCCTCCGCCACCGCCGCCGCCGCCGCCGCCGCCGCCGCCTCTTCACCTATCGCTCCAATCCGTTAAACTTCGCTGCTTTGGAATAAGAACACTGGGTTAATATCTCCCTTGGCAAATCAAGGTGGATTCTTGATATCAGGTGAATTTTTTTCCTTATCTTTCAATTTTACCCGGATTCTTGATGACGTGTGAATTTTTTTGGGTAAGTATATCAGTTGAATTTTTGGCTTTTTAATCTTTCAAATTTTCCATTTTTTCCCTCGATTTTTTGCCATTCTAATCTTGTAAGTTTGAATGTACAGATATCCACACACAAGCTCACATTTTCTAAGTGCATTAGTGCGTTTTGCGTGTGAGTTCTGTTACACACACACACACACATACATAGTCCTCTGGGTTTCTTTACTTTGTTTTTTGTTTAGTATATATTAACTGGGATTGTTCTGGAAAACTTTTTTCATTGCCTTAATGAATTCTTTTAAAGTAAATAAATCTTTTATTCTTAGAGTTGTTCATAAGTATTGATTTTGATTTAAAGAGTATTCATTCATGTAGTATTTAACGAATTTTATAAGGTGATTAAGCGGGATTTGGTAATGCTATAGAGGGCAATGTAATAAAACAAGAAATACGTTTTTGAAATAATAGTTTTCCAGAAAGAATGGCTGCTTATGGAATTGATTAAGATTTTTGGTATATAATTTGACAAAGAACAAATGGAAAATTTGAACTTGTTACGGTAAACCAGTCCTTTCCAAGTAGGTGTCTGCTATCCAAAATGATGAATGATTAAATTATAGAAAATTGCTCTGCCTCCAAGTATGGGTACCATTTTTCTACGGAAGAAATGAGGTGTAAGAGAGTCTAAAGGAGGATTTGTTAGAGTGTGATGTTTTTGGCTGAAATTGAGTAGAGAAGTAACTGCTTGCAGCATCAATTTTGCACATACTATATGATATAAAGAGGGTGATCTAATTCATTGAAGCTGCAATTCCACGGAAAAATTGTGAAGCTGTACAGTGTTATTGGGATTTAGCTTTAAAGTGGCTCTCTCTTCAGTTTGCATGTACCACACATCCCTTGCTCTGTTTTCCACCTCTTGTTAAAACTTTGGTGTTGTTGAAATCATTCTTGACATAGACCAGTGATGCTGTTCTTTATCTTCTCAAGCAAAAGCCCTTTCAAACTTGATCCTGAAAGTGTTGATTGGCCATTGGGAGAAGGCTTGCCAAATGGTATGATAGTAAATGAATCACCAAGCATTGTTCTCAGCTCAATCTAGAAGATGATGCAGCTTGCAATTCTTTTAATATGAATTGCATTACACCAACTCCTTTAATTTACTTTGTAACTGCTATTTATAGCTTTTTGTTGACCTACCATTTACAAATTACAGCCAGACATCTCTATCTTTAGCATGCTACATTTTTCAAACTGTTACTGACTGATCACAACCATAGGCTGGTTCAGGACTTCATTAAAGGCTTGAGTGAAAATCAAAGTTATACAATTACCTTTTCCGTTATCCCAATTTCCCCAACTCTGCAAATTGGGGTTTTACCTTATTAGGGTTCATCAATTCAAACGCTCATCTCTTCCGCCTTCCAGGGTGGCAATGCCCAAAAACAAAAAGAATGCTACAAAATCAGCTGTAGAATCATCAGTTTCAGCTGCTGGTGCTGCCGCTGATGTGGAAGTACAAGAGCAGAAAAAGCAGCATCCCACGAAAAGAACCAGGGATGAGATTGATGAGATTTTCGCTTCAAAGAAGAAGCAAAGCAAGAAATCAGATAATCAGAAGCCCACATCCAAGAAGCCAGCTAAAGAGTCGGATCACGATAAAATGATGACAAAGAAGAATAATACTGGTAAGAGGAATACAAGCAAAAATGGTTCTAGAAGGGAAAATGGTGGGAGTGACCCACCAGCAGCTGCAACAGGAGGAGCTGGGCGGAGGCTGAGGAAGAAGACCGGAGATGGTCTAGCTATATATACTGAAGGGGAGTTGGGGATTGGGAGGGCGGATGCTGGAGGTACTCCTTTGTGCCCGTTTGATTGTGACTGTTGCTTTTGAAGGCAAGGCATCATCTGCCAGAAATTTTTTTTTTTTTTTACTTTTTTTCTCCGTTTTGATTTGCTGATTGTTGTAGTTTAGATGAGTGGTTTTTGAGCTGTACTAGCAATTTTCTTGATGATTTGCTCCAACAATGGATTTTCTTGACGGATTGAATATGATTTATAGATTTTTTTTCATACGATAGATGTCAAGTGATCATGTTTTATAACACGTCATGAGTGAAGAATCCTCTGGTAAGCCCATGGAATCTTCAACAAACCCTGTATACAAGTGATTTTGAGTTGTATAGCAATTTTCGTGATCATTTGCTCCAAAAATGGATTTTCTTGACGAATTGAATGCAATTACTACATTTTTTTCCCTGTATTTTTTTTTGTGGTTGTTATGTTTGAAAATGTAGTGTCAGCGGTTGAAGTTACTAAAGATTTCTCTTACAGATTACATAAAGTTTTGCAAGCAAGAATTGGTTTTGTGCTTATAATAGATGTTGTAAAGTGGTCATGTGTAGAATTAGGTTATGAGTGAAGAACTACAGCAGCCTCCAATAAGTCCATGGAAGCTTCAGCAAAGTATGAAAATTTGTTGGCAGGAGAAGAAAATGGAAAAAAAAAAAGCTCAGTTATTAGAACGCCTGATTACTATACCTAATTTATTTGTAATGTACCTTTTTATATGCACAAGCTCATATCTATTACCCGTTTGCATTTACACGATTTTCTAATTCAATTTTCACTTCTCCAAAAAAAAAAAAAAAACACTCGATGCCTCTCTTAACAAGTGCACTTGTTAAACAAATCCACCCTAAAATAAATGATGAAGATGTGGTCCTGGGGGCAAGAAAAGGATAGGTTTTGAAGAGAAGTTAACCTTAAACCAAATTACTCTAGATGTCGTAGCTAACCATGCTCTTTAATTTGCATACCGATCTTTTACATTCATAAATTTCAAACTTACCTCGTGTAATTGTCTCTTCATTAAAGATTGACCACAATAAGAATCTGGCTTTTATTTATTATTGTTTTGTGAACTTTGGGATCCATTTTGTACCTAACTTGTATTCAGGAACTAGTGCAACATTATTTGTGAACCTTGGAATCATTTGTATAAAGAGTAAAAACTAGCATGACTAACATCACCTGTAAAGTTACGAGGGTTACAATTAGCGTTACAACAATATTCTAACCTCTTTTAAGCATATCCATGTACTACTAATGATTGATTATGCTTATTAATGTTTTAGGAGATGAAAACCCCGTTTCGATAGCGAGTTTTTTGGATATTAAATTTTATTGTAAATCTTGTAAAAAAAAATTTTTAGGTTGTGTAAATATTTCATTTTATTTTTTTTCCTTTCCCCTCCTCTTCTTCTCCCTTACTCTACCACTATTATTTCTCTTCCCTCCCCCACCCCACCAATGCTCTTCTTCCTCCCTCCCCACTACGGGCCGCCGTCACCAGCACCAACAGCCTTTTTTTTTCTCTTTTTTCTCTCCCTCTTTCCCCTTCCTCTTCCCTCCTCCCCTCTCCCTTTGTCCCCCTCTCCTCCTATCCCCTCCCTTTCCTCGCCAACTTCCCCGCCGTCCTGGGCTTTTGGTTGCTACGACTAGATCTCTGGTTGCAATGACTAGATTCGATCTCGTGATTGGCTTTGGTCATGACGACCAAAGGCCGTAGGAGGAGGGAGAGGGTGGCGGGGGAGAGAAGGAAGGGGAAAGAGGGAGGAAGAGGAGGGGAGGGAAAAAGGAGGTTGCTTGTCGATGGTGGTGGGTTGAGGTGAGAGAAAAAAGATGAAGAAAAAGATAGAAAGAAAATAAAAAATTTGTGTATTTTTGAATATTTTGATATGTGTATATTAAAAACTTTGTGGTATTTTTAGAGAGTTACTATGAACAAGTAATAAAAAAAAACTTGTCTATTAAAAATTAGGCTAAAAACTCGCGTGCCAACTACCAATTGAAAGTGCCCTTTGAGACTAATAATGTCGAAAATTAGAGAAAAATATTATAAAAGAGCTATTATTTGATTGGTCAATATTAAAGACAGAAATAACAGTTATTAGGAAACCATTTTATTTCGCATGCAGTGAACAGATTACAAGTAAACCAAAATTATTCATTCATCATCACCTCTCCTAACTAACAAAAACCAGAAATTACTACCTTTTGTAAAAAATTACATCATCAAGTTTTAAAGAATGCTCAAAGCTGACTAGTTTACCCTTTTCTCTTTTTTTCAAGTTTAAGCAATAAAGGTTTCTATGATGTTTGGCATTCCAAAGTCGAATTTGACTATAAAATTCAGCAAGAAGAAAAGTCAAACCAAAGTCAAGCTTGCTAAAGTAAGCTCAACTCAACTTCAGATGCAACACTAGGCTGGAAAAAGCCAGCTTCCATGATGATACGTCCAAGTTTCAACAACAGGCAAGACGTATACCCTTCCACCAAGGAAGAACCTGTTGCATCCCATCACCATCGCTTGAGAGATCTATTCGGCAAAAGCCAACCCCAACCCTGGACCTTGCATACAAGGGCGAGTATTACAAAGATTTTAAGCCAGTAACTGAATTCTAACTTAACTCTGTTGACTCCATTAGATCATGCACCACAATTAAATGTCCAAGTAGCAAATGAAAATGACACGTCTTACAAACAGAGACAGAAACAGAAAGTGACAAGGCTTGGAAGGAATTACAGAAGCATTCCAGAATCCAAGCCACAAAAGACCTGTAAAACAAGAAATGAAAGCAAAGACCAATGATAAGAACGCTAACAATCTTGCCAGGAAAGTTCCACCTCTTATTAGACAGAGGATGAAGGTTTCTCCTTCCATGTTAATTGTAAGAATGGTATGCTTCTTCCATGCACACAGCAAAGAGGACAAAAAGCAGCTACGAATGCAAAAGGCAGTTTCACTTTTACCTTATTTTTATTGGCAAAAGATGGGAAGGTGGGGGGATGGGGTGAAAGGGAGGTCGGAAGATAAGAGGTCTGACAACTGAAGGTACAGCATAATAGGTACACAAGGTGGTTTATACCCCTCTAGAACCAGAAGATCCATCAATATTAAGAATCATATTACAAACTCAAAGAAAACACGCTCACCTTCTGCAGGTTCCATTGCCACAGTGATGAAGCCATTTACATAAAGTCACCAATTACAAATAGCTCAATTTACAACAGCAGAAAAGCAAGTACTGTAAATATTACCAGAATAGGTTTGAACCTGCCCAATCTGACTTCATCCAAAGACATCACCGCGTCAGATATAAAGGTATAGATCCATTTGTGGGAGTAGATCAATATAACAAACGATCAACAAAAGCATCACCCATTTGTTAGAAATCTTTCCAGGACAGAAGGATGATCACATCCACGCTTCTCCAGTTAGAACCAGAAAAGAAGCTAAAAGTTGTCAGTGATTGAGCTGTATAACTCGGGCTACCCTATGAAAGAAGGTAGGGCACATACTCATGCTGAACATCAAGACATCTCTCATCCACTCTGGTGCCACTCTTTCAAAGGTCCCAAGTGCTAAAACATGATAGAGCAACTCTGGTTCACCCTTTGAGTTGTTTACCCATGTCAGAGTGAAAGAGTAACCTAAATGAACAAAAGTCAAGGAATGTAATTTTATAGTCTGTGTTTAAATAAGGACAATTTGCTAGAAAAGATCCTCTAAAGTTTTATCTAAACGTCAGATTATTCACCCATCTTTACTGATAATTGTTAAATATGGTAATGGCCTAGACAAGGTTTCCTCAATTTGAGCAATCTATACAGTAGATAAACTTAAGATCTGTTGTACCAGATATTCTACTAGCTTAAAAAGTAAAAGCAACGAACTACTGTTTCTTAAATATCTTCAAGAAGCCTAGCATTTCCAATCCACCTTTGTATATAGCAATCATTCAGAAGATATCTACAAAATTGCAGAAAAAAATTATTGAACAGTCACATAACACCATGAACTCAAATCAGAATATAAAGGATAATTTATTGAGGCAAGGATGCCCTGTCAGAAACAGCAATATGGAGAAAATGGTGTATTGCAGCTTTGTAAAGCTGAATTTTCAGACATGAATTGAAATAAAATTCCAAAAAGAAGCAAACAAGGGGCAGAATCTCGAGCTTCAAATTCATAAAAAACAATCTATCCAAAGGTATAAATGTTGAGCAAATGATAATCAAATTCTCAAACAAGAGCGTGATGTACAAGTAGAGACCTTGAATAGAAACTTCAAAAGAAAGCTTACCACTTGATGGATGCAGAGCTGATATGCAGAAGTCTTTACTCTGAGGAATAATGGACAACTTCAAGCCAACAACCCATTCCACTAGTTCTTGAAACATGCAACTGGCAGCCACATCACTGCCTAAAAGACAGCATCAAAAGAGTTGTGATACATATGATGAAAAGAAAGTTGGAAATAACTTGTGAATATTTTGACTGGTTACCTGGATTATTCATCTTCCTTTTGCAGATTGCAGGCTGCAAAACCTACATTAATTATCAACACAGAAAACCATGAAATGAAGGGAAAAATGGTTCCAAAATTTAGTTTTCATGATGTCTTACATCATAATGGTCTGAAGGAGTATCACTGGCTTCAGTTTCCTTGCAGGATCTATTTGATAACACATTCAACTGTTCATGCTCATGTTCCTTGGTGGCAGATGGTGTAATTGTATCTCCTCTACCATGTAGAGATTGTCTACTGCGTTTCCTTGTCTTTCTAACACTCATGCCATCTGAAGAATAGGACTCCACCTGAGAACTCACAGGCATGTCAACAGGTTCATCACCAACTTTGTCATCCCTAGCTTGGCAGCAGTGTCCCTCACGTTGAAGGTTACGAAGCCTCTCAATTTCTTCTTGAAGTTTTTTATCTGCAATATTCCAGAGGCTAAGTGAAAGAAGAGTAACACAATTAAAATAAGATCCATTTAAAATTCAGTTGACGAGTACATCCGCAAAGTACCGTTTCCATAGGGAAAGAAATATGGAGCAGATCTTCAAGGATCTCATGAATATGTAAACATTTCACTATGATATGCATGTGGATCAGGTAATGAGACCCCAGAACATTAATCAACTATTACCTAGCACTGTCTATTCTGTATGCCAAGTATAAAATGCATCAAGAATCATGGACGGGGGATGCGTATGCAAGAAAAACAGAAACATAATCTTCCATGGAAAGATCACCTTCTCCGCTGGGCCATAGTTTTTTTTTTTTTTGGTTTTTCATTAAACAGAATAAACAAAAGTTTAAATTAAGTTCTTAATTCTGAACTTTGAAGTCACATAGCCAATGCTGCCACAACCAACTTTGAAATGAAATGGACATAACGAAGCATTAAGCCCAGGATCATCTACGCTCAAGAGAACTTCAATCACATGACTAATATATCGATTTAGATCTTACTATTTTGGTTTTCTTCCATCAACAGTTTGTTGTACTGAATACATTCTTCATCTTTGGTAGACCTGCAGCCAAGAATGAGGTCAACTTCATCATATAGCTTTATGAAGATACTACAAAATAAAAGAGGCAGATATACATGCCTTAGCAAAGCCATTTCACTTCTTAAGTCACTGACTTGGTTGCCTAGTCTTTCATTTTCACTTCTTAAGAACTCTATCATTTCGTCTGAAGCTGCATCAAGATGACCACTTGAGTCAATCACTTTGATTATAACGTTACAGGTATATGGAAAGAAAATCAGATATTACAATAGCTGGAAAGAAGAATTAAATGAGATAATTGCAACAAAAAAGCTGAAGCTAGGTTTTCCTCAATATCAATGAATTAAGAATGACAGGTAATAGAATTTGATGAGGCTATATTCTTCATCCTTTGCTTATCTGGAAGGATTTAAGTCATTTAACTAGATATCCTATTTCCTGAGAAAGGACTGAGGAATGAACTGTGTTGGTTAAAAGAGTACATGAAAGTGCAAGAAGCATGTTAAGTGCTTCTGATCCCAAAAGAAGCTATAACTACTTTCTCTTATGCTAAGTTCTAAAATTCAAATCCTCAGTAGAAGAAGCCTAGTGGATCAAGGAGATGAACAAGATTAAAACCTTCAAAAGTAGGTCTTTTGTCTACGCAAAATTGTGTAAATTGAATCTCATATAATTATATTACATTGCTGCGAATATCTAAAAATTTCTTTTACCACAATGCGCAGACTGACTCTCTCTCTCTCAATGTGTGTGTGCGCGCAACAGCTTTATTTTCATAGTTTTGTGTAAACTACCAAAATCCAGAGTCTCTCTCCTCTCTCCCTGCAACAGCTTCATTTCCATAACTTCTGCATAAAACTGCTGTAGTCCAAAGGGGAACAGTAAAAATGTACAGTTCTTAAGCAGACCAACCTATGTCCCCACGTTTTTCACTCTTCTATTGTGGCTTGAAATAAGAAATTAAAGCCACATGATGTTCCCGATACAATAATTACAATTTGAGCTTTTCACCAAATATAAAATACAAAATAACTTTTTATAGAACTTCGTTCCTTTTTTCTCACCAAATTCCAACTTCAAAACACTACTTGAGAACCTCCCGCCAAAAACAAGGAACCCTCAAAATCATGAATTCCCCAAAATAGAATAAGATGTGCATACATAGCAGGTAAGATCAAGATAAAGAAATACTACATACATACCAATCACATAATTCATAAACTTTTTTTCTTGATCGCGGTTCAGGTTCTCCATCGCCGTATCCTTTTCTTTCTACAATTCCATAAAAAAAAAGGGATAAATTTGCATAAAATTAAATCCAAAACCAAAATCAAAGTAAAAAAAATTACCTTGAGTTTAATGTACTTGTTGTATAACTTTGTGTAAAGTGTCTCCATCTCAAACGGCCAAATTAGCAACCAGTACTTTTAGGCCATATTGCCAAAAATGACAAAAAAAAGAGCTATCAAAATGCAATTTAAATTCATCTCTAACTAGAAAATAAGCAAGAAACAGGGTAAATTACGGACGGAAACCCTAGAAATTTAAAATTCGAACTCACCGGGCCGAATAAACGAGTAAAAATGGAATAATAATCCTTCAATCACGCAGAAATGAGCCTCCGGCGTCTTGGTGGAAGATGTGTGTGCGCGTGAGTGAGTGTGAGTTTGTGTGTGTATGTGTGTCTGTGTGAGAGAGACAGGGAATGAGAGAACGAGACTGAAAGAGTGTTGAGGGTTTGGGCGGGAGTTTGTGGGGAAGAAAACAAAATAAAATAATATTTGATGAAATTCTTTGAGGCGAAATTGCAGTTAACCCCTTGCAATACAGGCTAGTATTACAATACCCCACCCATAATATATTAATATATTTTCATTGTTGTCATCTTTATTCTTGCTCATATAAATATATATATACATATATATTTACTTTTCTCGCACTTTCTTAAATTGCTTATTCATATTAATAGTTTATTGAATCATATATACTATATATGTGCACCCCAGGTGCAGATCGGCTGGCTGTGGGATCACCTCATTAGGCCCAGGTCGTGTGGTCGAATCTGCCCTCTTTAACAATCTCTGGCTTCTTGGTGGTGCGGGGGTCAGGGCCCAGTGGAGGACTAGTCGGTTGCCAATGCAATTGGATACCCCACTGAAGGAAAAAATATATATATATATATATATATACTATATATGCCACCTGGGAGAACATTATGTTTGATGTAAACATTTTTTTATCACTTTTTATAATTTTAATTCTATCATCGTAATCACTTAATTATACTTTTATTATTTGATTACATGTTACCCATATTGTCAATCAATGTAATTACAACTAATTTTCACCCATAACCACCCATAAACAATATATTCACCAAGTAATTAAAATTCTATTCAAAAAATTTTTGAAAGATCAAAGTTTTTTTTGTTTACGAATATTTTATACTAAATTCATCCATATAAAAAGTGATTGTTCCTACATCGCACACACATCGAGTATACCTTTATCATTAGTTTGAAGAATTCTTTGTATTTAATTACATATATAATAATTTTTTTAATAAAGAGTAAACTATAATCAATTGCGTGCAGCCAAAATTCTCATCAATGAAATTTAATTCATATAAAATATATATTATCTATGCAAGGATATATATTTGGGTGGATAACTAAGTTGGTTAAAAAAAGTATTACAAAATTATCTATATTTAGAGATTTGGCAATAGAATAGATTCAAGATATGTTCAAGTCCAACTAATTTTTTAATAAAATTATATATGATTGATGATTAACTTATATGCTTGTATGTCCAAAATAATTCCCTCCCTACTGGAGGTTTAGTTTGTTTTAATATATAATCATGGATAATTGTAGAAACCTCCCCTGACTTTTATAGTAATAGCATTGATCTTCCCCATCAATTTTGAAATAGCACTGACCTCCCCTATCAAAAGTTGGAGGCAATTAAATAGGCAAAAATGGGTCAATTTACTAAAGTACCCTTGACATGATTTAATTTTACCAAATGAATGTGATGAGTACTTTCATCAAACCCAACAAAACATTTGTTAATAAAAATTACACTAAATTAAATATTTCTGCATAGTTTAACTAATTAACTAAATAACTAAATAACTAATAATCTAATTAACTAATTATCTAATTGTTAATAGTTATTAACTAATCAAACTATTTCTGCATAGTTAAACTAATTAACTATTAACTAATTATCTAATTAACTATTAACAAATTATCTAATTATCTAATTAATTAATTAACTAATTTCTATTTATCTAATTAACTAATTATCTAATTAACTAATTAACTAAAGCTGTTGTCTGTCCGAAACTAACAAACTATTTGCATGTTAAACTAATTAACTAATTAACTGCTTAACTAATTAACTACCTAATTATCTAATTAATTAATTAACTAATTAACTAATTTTTGTTTATCTAATTAACTAATTAACTAATTATCTAATTAACTAAAGTTGTTGTCTATCCGAAACTAACAAACTATTTGCATGTTAAACTAATTAACTAATTAACTGCTTAACTAATTAACTAATTAACTAAAGCTGTTGTCTATCCGAAACTAACAAACTATTTACATGTTAAACTAACAAACTATTTGCATGTTAAACTAATTAACTAATTAACTAACTAATTATCTAATTAATTAATTAACTAATTTCTGTTTATCTAATTAACTAATTATCTAATTAACTAATTAACTAAAGTTGTTGTCTATCCGAAACTAACAAACTATTTGCATGTTAAACTAATTAACTAATTAACTAACTAACTAATTAACAAACTATTTGCATGTTAAACTATATGCAATACGCATTATCTATTTAAAGTATCGGCTCTTTATGGGTATTTACTTTCAAACATTTAATTTATGATAAAAACATCAATATTTGTAAGTAAAATTCAAAAAGTGTTACAGTAATATCAATATTCTTACTTTCAAACATTTAATTTATGGCCCTATACCCCTTCCTTTTTGTAAGAATATTACTGTAACTGTAAGGCCAAAGACAACCTAAGAGGGTGGTGAATTAGGTTGATTAAAAATACTTTATTGAGTTTATGCACTTTTTCTTTAATAAAAATTTACCTTCTTTTCTAGTAGTGATCAGCCAAGTAAATTTAAAGAAGAGAGCAATGTTGATCAGAAATAAGAGTGTATATAAGCAATGAGAATTTTATTAAACAAAAGGAATAAAATAGAGTATCAAACCGATTGTCTACCAAGCTTTCATCAAACTTGAAGACCAATCACAAAGATGAGCACCTTCTCTTTGATGAAAAATAATCAACTCAATGTACAATGGAGGGATCACTTCCTCCTTGCCCCAAGCCTCACTTAGTCAAGTTAGGAAGTTTTACTATCACACAGATAACCCTCAACAAAGCTACACTATTGAAAATTTCAAACACAAGAGAAGTGCTTACAAGAACTTCACACTACTTGGAGAACAAATCTTGCTTAGGAGACTATTTTCTAGCTAAAATATCTCTTGAGATCTTGTAAACGAAGTGTGCAAAAGTCGCTCCCTGGTTCAGAATCGTTTGTATTTAAAGGGGACCAAAAATGGGCTTCATTAATGCTTCCAACGGATAGAAGGCAGATGAAGAGTCAGCTAGCCGTTGGGGCTGTCGGACGTCCGACAGATTAATCATCGTCCGATCCCATTATCCGAAAATCAGCCAAGTTGTCGTTCGGACGTCCGATGGGATTTTATCGTCCGACAGCTTCTGCGTCCGAACGTCGTCAGAGAGTCATCAAAACTTTACGAAATTTTTCGGACATCCAACGCGATCGATGTGCGTCCGAAGAGTGCGTCCGATCCTCCCGGACGTCCGATGCTTCCCCACGAGCGTCCGACAGAGTTTCCTTTTTGATGTTCTTCATCCTTTCGGACGTCCGACATGAGTGCCCTGTTTTTGCTTCTTCTTTTGGTTGATTTTCTTTCCTTGACACCTTTGTACCTGATTCTCTAAAAAGCAAAACACTTATATTTGAAGAGAAATAGATAAACATTTCAAAGTGCTTTGTCAGCATCAAAATCAAAAAAAACATTCTCCCCCTTTTTGATGATGACAAAACATTGGTTTGAAATGAAATTTGATGATTACAAATAGGCTCCCCCTTTCTCATTTGACAAAAGCTCCCCCTTACTTAGTCAATCGTAGAACAAAAATTGAAAAACTTCCCCTCACTTGGCTACTTCACAGATTTATTCAATCATCCAAAAACAGTTAAGCAACCGACATTTTACCAACTGTCCAGCCAATTCAACGCATCCCGCACATATCCATATTCATATCTTCATATCTCTCTCCCTTTTTGTCATCACAAAAGTCAAAAGGCAAAGAGACATTACAAGAACCAGTAACATGAAAAAGAACTAAACATTCATAACAAAATAACTTACGAGCATCACAAACATTACATCCACATATCCAGTTTTGAACATTACTAGCACCAGAATCAAAGAAACAAAAAAAGTCCGAGACAGCCATCTAACATCCAGCAAATACAAAACAGTCAAACAGAATGCAAATGATCCTAATAGGGCTAGTGATCCTAAATGATAAACTAAGTGGACCCAGACGTCCTTCGAGTAAGCAAATACTGAGAGAGATCCTCCTCCTTAGTGTCTTCATCATCTTCACCAACTGGTTTCTTGCCTTTGTCAGATGTGGAAGGATCATGAGGTTCCACGGGAGTAGAGATGAGGTCGATGGGAGCAGGACTCATAGAGCGAATAAGAGCTGATGAACTGGGATCAGTAGAGCGTGACTCTTTGCCATGAGGAACTTCCTCAACCACAGGTGGGGAAGAGAAGATTCTTTTTATCCAGGAAGTCTGTTTGTTGCTCGGATGACATGGTGAGCATGAGACCATGTTTAAGAAGTAGAACATGTTGTTTAAGATCTCGAAGGAGCTCAACCACTTCAGAATTTGAAGAAGAAGATGCCTTAGTGGCAATCTTCCTAGGATGAATAGAAGTCAGTGCAACAGAGGATGGAGTGTGAAGGGGATCATGTGCAGCCTTAGATCTAGGTTCATTAGATGTGGCCCCCTTATAAGCCCACATATTATCCCTAAAGACAAGATTCTTGTGCTCAAAATAAGCCTTAGTAAAGGCAGAAGAAAACGTTTCTTTGGGACAAACACCAAGGATGGGTACTTTGTAAAATTCAAAAATCTTCTGAAAAAATTTTCCATAAGACAGTTTTCTACGAGAATCAGTGGTAAAGCGAAGTAAAAACTTGCACATGACAAAGCCAAAGTCAATCTGTCTCCATTTTATTGGCATCTGTCCTATGACCATCGGTAGGCACAAGCAAATTTGAAATGATTGAGAAAGCAATGAGATTCACAGGAGCAAAGTCATTTAGTTTTGCATCAGCAGGGGCAGAAAACTTCTTTTAAAAATAAGACAACATCTTAGCACTATCAAAGTGATTATCAGCAGTGGGATGCTCTTCATAAGAAAAGAAATTGGCAATTTTACTTTTGCATCCTGGTTCAATAACAGTATTTAAAACAGCATTCACAATCTCAGGATCAAACACTAAATCTACCCCATTTACCCTGGACATAATTTCAGTGTGGTCAGTGCCTTTCCTAAGATTGGCAAAGAATTGATATAGCATTCCAGGGTAATAAACGTTAGGCATGGAAATGATATGTGACAATTTCTGGAATTCAAAGAGACG